ACACACACACACACACACACACACACACACACACACACACAGCATAAACGTGAGCACACTTGTACTGTAGCTAACAGCTGTAAGGACATTGTCCACTGATGTCATATTTTGTTGGTATGATTTTTTTTGGTGTCCTTTTTGCTGTTGTATAAAAATATTACCATATTCCAGGTAACAATGGGTTATCAAGTAGCAATCCGCATCATTGCAACTGCATCATAGATCAAATATTCACTGGGGGGCTGCAATCTGATGTCACTTGTAAAGAGTGCAAGTAAGTCCATGTTACATTGTTTCCCCTAAGAAGAGTTTCAAAAAGACTGGTGCTCAAAATGAAAGTCGAGTACATTTATGTTATAAAATGTTTAGTGTAACTTCAACAAGCTATTAATTTATTTTGTCTCTTAATTGACAAAAGAACTGCTCTAATATAGTATCAATTTTTCTAAATTGTATCAATAACAGATCTACCTGGCATGATATATTTATATGAATTTCCCATATGATGTTTCTGTTAATAACATATACTTAGGTCTTGAGACTTGAACTCAATGAATGCCAGTTTTTCTCACTGATTTTATGTAAATTTTGCAGGAATATTTACTGTAAAGCAGAAAAAAAAGATATTTGACAATGTGCAATCTCTCTTCAGTAACGTATCTACTACAATTGATCCATTCTGGGATATCTCTCTGGACCTGGGACCACCCCCAGGGGGAGACGCTAGAAATTCATGTGAGTCACATTTCTTGTAGAAAGTATTTGTAGTCATGGGGTACAATTCCTTACGAGTCACATCTGTAAGACATTGTCAATATGCATGCCAGTGTTCCCTTTGTGCCTTAAAGTCTTACACCCGTTGTATTAGATCTAAATTTTTAGAACTTATTTGAAGATGATATCAAAACTAAATTAACTATAGAAATTTGTCATAGTACACTAGTTTCTGCAGGTTGTATTCTAGTTTTGTTGGTTAATATGAAAAAAAAATCTTGTCATATTTTATAATGACATTTTAATTACAACAGTGATAAATAAAATATATCATCCCAGAAAAGTTGCAGTCTCAATAACTTTTTGTGCACTGATTTCAGTATATGGCAATGGGGATGAGCCTTCCTCTCTTATGGAATGTCTTAGAAGGTAAATATATTAACTGTGTATATAGAAACAGGATGTTTTAGTTATGTTGTTGGTCATTGAGAAAAAAACGTTTTTTTTTTTAGTATTAATTAAAATATTTTAAACAAGATGAATTTTTCAATTTTTATTTTTCTCATAATTCCTCTTCCAAACATAAATACTCACAGTTGTTTGTTAGAAAACAAATTATTTACTTGTAATTTGTTAACATTTGATTGTAAATAATGTGTAGATGTTAGCTTTTTATAAAAGCATTACGCCCTGTGTTGTCCTAATTTTTACAACTGACTTTGGATTAAACATGTCGTGTCCTTGTACAATTTAGGTTCACACGTCCAGAACACCTTGGCAGCTCTGCCAAAATCAAATGTGGCAAGTGTCACAGCTATCAGGAATCTACCAAACAGCTGACCATGAAGAAGTTACCTGTAGTGGCTTGCTTCCATTTAAAGGTAAGTTGTCAAATGACCAGTTCCTTTGGTCTTAATTTTTCAGAACTATTCCAGCAAGATTTTTCCACTTTTATTTTAGTGGGCAATCTACAGTTTGTTTATTTTAGATGAGATTTCCTCAGACTGGTTTATTTTATCATTTTAAAAGCACACATTATACTTGCAGCGTTTTGAGCATTCCACAGGCTATCACAAAAAGATCTCCACTTTCATCCCATTCCCCGAGGAATTAGATATGACCCCATTCATGTCTTCTTCTCGGAGCCACAACAATGGCTACCAAACTCAGGTTGTACAAGAGGCTGCTTCCTCACTTTCAAGCCAAAATAAGTAAGTGCTGAATTTTTCCTAAATGTTATAGACTTTGCAAAAATGACTTTCAAACTTGAATTTTGCAAGGAAGTGAATATTGCAGGTCAAAGTTTTTCATTGGCTATAGAATTGAAATGAAAAAAGTACATTGTGCTACACAGTAGTACTAATTATTTTAAAGCCATCAAGTATAGATGCAAACTTAAGTAAGGTCACTTAAAAGTTAACATTTTTTAAACTGAAAAAAAAAAAAAAAAAAAAAAAAAAAAACAACTCACAGAGAGCCGTAACAGTGAAACATATTGTTTCCACATCTTTTGAGTTGACTCCCTCCCACATCTTTTGAGTTGACTTTTTTCAAATTATTGCCAGTATTGTATTCACACTTTTGTTGCATTTGTGTTATAACACCTAAAACATTATTATCTCTCTATCCCTCTGGTAATGCAGATACTCCCTATTTGCTGTGGTCAACCACCTCGGGACAATAGAGTCTGGTCACTACACAAACTACATCCGCCTACATAAGAACCAGTGGTACAAGTGTGATGACCATATGATAACTAAGGCCTCTTTGGACAGTGTACTCAGAAGTGAAGGGTAAGATCGTATTGGCCATAACATTATTATGTACGTTTGATTAAATTTAAAAATTAACATTTTTTTGTGAAATCATGTCATTTCAATGTCTCTGCCAGTTTTGTGGAAGTATTAAATTTTGATTGAAAGTGATATATAGTATGAAAATTGTATCATTTTGTACGATGTCAAATTCATCTAGGTAATTTTGAATATATATCTTTCCAAATCATTTTAAGGCATAGTGGGTGAAGCAAGTTTTATGAGTTATTACAGTTACATATTACTGTATGTGATTTAATTAAAAAAAAAAAAAAAACGTTTAAACTTCCTTTATTAGGGGAAAAGTAAATTTTAGAAAAAACAAAGGACCACATTAAAGCTGAACATTTCACTGGGGGATTTACTTTGTCTGGCACAGAAAAATGTTAAGAAAGGAAAAAGACATCCTTGAAATGTTTGGTTACTACTTTGAGTTAACCTTAGTAAATACATGTTTACATGTTGCTCTTTCAGCTACCTCCTGTTTTACCACAAGCAAATCTTGGAGTATGAATAAAGATGGTGTTTGTCTTCAGAAAAACTGACACCAGATGGCAGTCATAACATCCCTTGTTGGAGAAGGAGCAGGGCTGCCTTATTTGTATTACTCATACCATACAAGGAATTGTGAGATTTGAAGACTTCCAGAAGATTTGTTTAGCTACTAGACACACACAGGGTGGTAATGCAGGGACATATTCATGTTGTGGACTTGTTGTATTGAATAGCGCATTGCTGTGATGATTATGATATATACAAAAAGCTATGTATACTTAAGATTGGGATTGCACTGGATCATAGTGCCTGATTATTATCATGATGCTCTGATTTTACTTGTCACACTTACTGTCACAGTTGAGACACACGAAGAAGACATACTTAAAGCATTGCCCTCCCTCAACACACTCCCAAAACAGCACAATGTCTCACCAAACACAATACCCCAACTTACAAACTTACACTTAACTGAAAATGTAGGTGTTCACTTAAACGGTCAGTGCATTACTTTATTTAGGCAAAGCTCATTAATATATTGTGCAACTGCAGACATTGGTGGATGCAGAACTTTATTTTGGATTGTACACCCAAATGGTTCTGTATTGTGTGTTTCTATATACTTTACCAATGTGATTGATAGTTTATTTATGATATAATTTGACCTTTGCTTGTATTGGTGGACCTATGCAACAAGCGCCAAAAAGCTCAAAAACTTTCCCTCAAAACAAATCTGTGATGTTTCCGCTGGATATTTAAGCGGCCAGAGAGTAGGTCAAAGGAGGGAGTTTTGACCATTGCCTAAATTGGACTTAGCAGTGCCATATCTGTCTTATATTTGGGATTGGTCACCTTATATCATTCACTGGGCTCATGTCAGATGCCTTTTTCATTTTTTTGGGATCACTTTCATAGCATTTTGGGCCAATTATTCAAATGCAAATCAGTGGCAGTTTGACAAATGTCATGTTTTTTTATAGTTCTTTATCTCAAACTTGATCTGATCAATTCAAATATTTTTTTCCATCCTAGTTTGAGCCCAGACTTGATTTCAATTTTCAGACACATGGCCTCATAAGTCATTTGGACAGCCCAGTAAGACTTTCAGATTGATCATTTCAGTATTACATAACTTTAATTATCGTCATCATCAATGTGGACTGCAGTCTGGACCAGGACTGTGATGTGCACACAACTTGCATCCAGTCACAATGAGAGTTTACACAAATTTTAGATGGTTTAGGTTCATATATCATCTCTGTTGGAACAAAATATTTTAAAAGAAATTTGGAAGCTTCCTGCTGGGACAACTTGAATTAGCACATTTGAAGATAATATTACTTGTTCCGAAGTTTTCCTGTCTGATGATGTCATATGTACTAGAACTGGTCTAAGTTATTATGTCTGAACGCACCAGTGCACTTGACCTCATGGTTCGTTAGATTATAATTGTCATCACAACTCATACCCTTATACTCATAATATTAATGTGAAATAAAGAATATGATGTCAAGATCTGGTTCATCATGTGTGTTTTATAGTTTTACAAGGGTAAAGTGTATAATTTGTTGCATATTGACTTCTTTACGTTAGATTTCATTTACATCTGTAGAGAAACAAAAGTTTGAACTATACTCTGCATGAGCAGCACAAATATACCCAGGGTGTAGCACATGGCTCAAGATAGGCGGGGTTAAATTAAATGCCTGTTTATCAAATATCTGGTGCATGGAAATCTCAACAACATTGTATCAAAATTTACCTGCATAATTATCACTGCTTCCTTATTATTATTCTAGCAGAGAGCTTAACCTTTGGGAGTTTACAGGGAAATGTCAATAAGTGTGCTTTATGTAATATCATTTAATGGTCTATTAATTAGGCAAATGACTTTATAACACTGAAATTAGCTAAGTGATACCCCAGGGAAATTTACAGACTGACCCACTCAAAGGTCTTTCAGGCCCATAAGTCATAACTTAAGAAAAGCACAAAACAATAATGCACAAAATAGGAGACTACCAATTCTGATGCAATAATACATTATGTTTAACTGCACAGTCAACATCAAATTGTAATTTTGCACAACAGGTAACATCAACAAAAGTAAAAGCATAAGGCTTCAGGCCCATCAGAGTTCAAGTTTATACTTAGAAAGTGCCAGAATGAGAAAAATGAAAATTTCACACAAAATTGCATAAAATTCAATAACAAATGATAATCCAATTGACCTGGCTTTCTAATTTGAATTGCATGCCAATCCTAAAAATCATACTTATAAGTTAAATATAATAATAAGTATCACAGTTTTCTTTCCATATGTTTGCAGTAGCAGTGCAAAAAGATTATTGTCAATTTTGATGTAACTTTACATAATAAATTATAGAATAATTATCACCAATTTTTATGTACAGACACAGTTGAAGTTCCATGGTCCTGAAGACCTTTGCTAGTCACATTTTCTGAATATCCCTGATACTTATATTTTATTATTAAAAATTGATGGTCATTATGCCGTTTAATATTATGTAATATTGCATCAAAATTTGAAGAAACCCCTATTTTGCTCCTGTGATGACCATTTAAGGGAAATCATGTCACTTACTGTTCTCAAACTTACAAGAAAGAAACATGGGTCTAAAATACAGATTCAGTAGGCAAATGTAGTCTGTTTGGTAAATTTTTCTGGCAATTTAACATTTTTTTGTGAAAATTAAATTTTTCACTTATTGGCATTTTCAAGGTGAGAATTAGAACCTCCATGGGCTTGAAGACCTGTACTAGTCACATTTTCTTAAAATTCATGACACATATATTTTATTATTAAAAATTGATGGTCATTATGCCATTAAGCATTATGTAATGTTGCATCAAATAGAAGAAAACACAATTTTTGGTGCTGCTGCCATGATGACCATTATGGGAAAACTGTGTTACTTATGATTGTCAAACTTTCAAACAAGGCAGCAAAGCTGTCAAATGTACAGACAAAAAACAGAAAATAAAGATGCAAAATGGGTCAATTTGTCAATTTTGATGCAATAATAAATAATACTTATAACAGCACAGTCTGTCAACAGTGATTTTTAATCATGCACAACAGGTAACATGGTCAATAACAGGAGCAGATCCAGAGATATTTTCTGACAGTATTCCAAAGTATCTATGTTGATCCATCCTCCATTTTGATGGTCTTCCAACAGAAAAAAAATAGATACCAGTCAATATAAACTTAATAACCTGACTGTCTTCCGGAAGACCCAGAAGATGGTCTCAATCCACCCCTTCAATAAGATTACAGTTTCAGGACCATGAGAGACCAAAGTCACATGATGAAAGTCTCAATATTTGAAAAAT